TATCTATTTTTAATATTTTTAGTGCAATTTTTTATTGGACAAGTATGTTTATTGTGGCGTAACTATTTTTTGATCATTTAACTCAAAATCAATTTATAGTACTTTTAATAGCAAAGCTCCCATATAATAAAATAAATGGGTAGAAGTGGGCGTATTTATTTTCCGCTTGAATTTTGCAATTAGAATTGACGATTTTATTTAATAAGTGTTTGTCAAGGAATATTTAATCAATATCTTTTAATTTCTTTAAATAATACTCCCTTACACTGTAACAAAGAACTTGAAATGTTTGAATTTTCAAGTCTCTGACATTTCAGGGAATTTAATACATTTAAGTATTACTATAATTGAATAACAAGAACTCAGTGTTTGTTGTTCTTTTTTGGATTGATCTTCATTTTTGATAATGAATGTTTTTTTTGTCATACCCCTTGAAACATACTATCAATTCGGATATTTGAGTAACACTTTACAATTTCATTTGAACATGATTATATATATTTGCAAAGTGACTATCATAAGCCAAAAATTTTAATACTTAGACACATGGATTTCAAAATTAAATATTTACTTCCTTCATCGTTGATTTTGATTATTTCCATTTTATTAGAACTCCATCAAGTTTGCGCATATACTACAACCGTTTATACCGATAATGAATTCACAGGTTTACATATTCAAGCAATTCAATCATACTCGGACGGTACGGCTTTAATAAAGTTGGGCAATAGTGACCTTGAAAAAAAAGGAATTCTTGTTATTCGACTTCTTCATCTGAACGGGTCTATGACTGCCTTTGATATACAACCTCGTTGTGATAGACCACCCTGTCCACCACGATGGTTGTATCCTTTAGGGAGCAACTACATTTTTGTGACCTATATGCCAACTAATTTACGAGATACATATGGACTTGTAGTCGATTGGAACGGAAAGATTATTTCCAGGTATACTGTAAGACCAAAATACTAAAGCCGTTTCCATTTATGATAAGTCTGATAATCCATTGCTTTCATAATAGTGATATACCACTCGGTTTGACTGACTATAACGATCATTATGACAATTATGGCCAAGCATTAACAAAAGCCTTTCAGCCTAATATTGATCCCAATGAAAACTTTTTATGGACGAACTCTTTCAATTATAAATTTACTAATTCAATTAGTTGGATGATATTCTCTGCACCGTAAGTTTCTTGGTAAAAACTACAACAAATGTAAAGCAAATCTGACCGTCACATTTTCACACAGAAACGCTAGTGGAGTAATTGATCTGATTTCTCAGGGTGTTTTATCAATATCCAATACTACTATTTTAGTAGATTTTAAACCTTTTTCAACAATAGAAGGTGGTTTCGGTCTGGCATATTTGACTCGGGTGCCTATTTTATCTAATCTTAATGATGCGAAAGTGTTTCAATCGTCTAAGCCACAATGGCATATCTATGTGACGTGAGTGAGTGTATTGCAATTTTGATCTAAAAGCGTTTCAATGATTAATGTAAATATCTCTTTTGTTAAATAGATTCATGAAACCTGGATCTGCAGACTTTAGTGAACCGGCGCTTATATATCAAACAACCATACCATTAAGTTGGGGGTTATTAACTAGCTGCTTTACAGCAGTAGATGCATCAGGGTACGGTTGCATTTATCGTGCTCCATGGGTTGACGTAAGACATTCACTTATTTCCTTCCATTCGAGCGGTTCTGTTTCAGTTGTTGAGCAAATAATCGTTCCGAGTCACTCGACAAAGTTAGTCCTAGGTGTGACACCACTTCCATTCGGTGGCTTTCTGACGGCGACCGAGGATGCAGTAACGAGCACAAAAAAGGTCTTTGTTGGTAAAGTATCTCAGAGCAACGGAACCGTTGTAAGCGAAACAATATTGCCGACGAATCCGCCAAACTATTATGGAGTTTTCCCCAACAATACTTTATATGTTTTATCGAATACTAATGATAGTCTTACTATCTATTTGGAACCTTTACACAAGTTCTTGCTAGATGGAATGTATTCTTTATTGAGATTTTGCTGTTAATTTTTATTATGATCAATTCATTGAAATATATTGCTTCTTAGATAACGGATTCGGTAATTTGCTAATTGACTCTGTTCAACCAACACTGCAATCGTTGGTTGACGCAGAGTTACGTAATATATCAATTTTTTTCCGTCAAGAAGTACGACTTTCCGACAAAAACGTCTCAATCTACCAGTATACTACTACAGAACCTCTTCTTCGACAAACATTTGCAGCGCAATCCCAATATTGCTTATTGCTGAATGACAATAAGACAGTATCGTTTCAAGTTCTCTCAAGCACGTTCAATTCTCCGAGGTCCTCTTACTTTGTAATAATGAATAATAACTTTGTCAGTAGCATGTCACAAAATCAAGCAATTACTGGGGTATCAGAAGGATATTGGACGTATACGACAGGTAAATGATTAAACCACATGCATGATTAGGAGCGTTGTCATCTTATCCAGTATTCATCATCATAAAAGCTCGGGTCATGTGACTTATAAATAATCTGTCACACCGCGTCACATCCACCATGTTTCATTTTACTATTTAATTTGTGGTGTGAATCCTATTTGTAACTTGTTATTTGTCACAGGTATTAGGGTTAGTTTGGTTTACTTATGGGAGTTAGATCCTATGCTTAAAAAATCAATCATTTTTATGGTATAACGTAATGGATTGACTTATTAAAATCAGCCACATTATGCATATTTAATCAGGTGACCCGAGCTTGTTGAAAATATGATTTACTATGACGATTTTGCTGGAAACGTTCCCATTTGTTTTTTCTCTATTATACTAACAAAATGGTTATCATAAATTAGATACAACGATAGGTATATATACAGGTGAGCTACTATGAAGAAATAAATGTGCGAAATTTTCACCGACCCATTTAATTTATGGTAAATTATCATTTCATGTAGCAACAACAACTGGCCTATTGTGGTTAACCCCAGAGGGATCAACGTTTTTCAACAACCTTGGCAAAGAAGATAAAGAAGCCTTTTTTAATGAAATATTGAGTGAACTTTCCGAAGTGATACCGATTGATATTGAACGTCTATCAACTAGCAAACATCATCAACCTGATCCTAAGGCGACTAATCAGATTCGATTTCCCATAACGATTGAGAGCACAAAGGATCCACTTGATCGAACCGTTCAACAAGTTATTAGTGACCTGGACACATTGATAAAAAACAAAGAGGTCAGTCCAATTTCCTTCAAGAAATTCGCATCATACTTGGACAGCACGTACGGATTTCAACCGACGCGTGAGTAAAAATTCCTTATCTATGTTTATTCTTGCAAATGAAGTTCGTCCTTGATTTACACGTTTTATAATGACTCTATTAAGCAAATCTCTGGGAAAGTTACAAGCTCAAGTTGATCTATGTTGCAATAGGAGTTATCATTCTGGGTGCGATTTATTATATGGCAAGGTTGAAAAATCAAAAGGTATTACCGTAGTTGTTAAAATCCTTTGGAAGGCTTAAATACATTAACGCTCTTCTTATAGGGCCAGAACTTTGTGATCATCAAAGTAACTCTTATGCTAGTAGATTTAATTCTTGATATAGCTTTCGTTGTTACTAACGGTAAAGATGTCAGTTGGCTATACTGGCCAAGGTTAGTTAGTTTCACAATATCTTTTTAAATCTACATTAATTCACTTGTTCACTGAATTACTTTCTATTCTATTTATTATTTGAAATAAAAGCATCCTTTACCTTGCGATCCCATTATGCTTCAACAGTCTGATTACCATTATCTTGCTAACTTCAGAAATCAATGAAAATGAAAAGTTTCATTTATGGTTTCGGTCGTATTCAAAACCAGCAGCGTTTTTAACAATATTGGCAGCGACAGATGTTGAGGCAATTACACTCATGTCATCTAAACTGTTTGGATTTCAGATTTTCAGCGCACCCTTTTCAACAAAAGTAGAAACCTGGACCTTTTGGGCTGGATTTTGTAATTTGTTTATTGAAGATGCACCACAGCTTATTATTCAAGTAAGTGTGATTAATTATCTAAATTCTGATTTTGTCTTTGAAAAAAGTTGCGTGTTAATAACTATTATTAAAAATAGATCTTATACAGGCAATTCACTGTCTCCTATGACATTATTCCATTATTGACCTTGACAATGAGTTCAATAATTTTAATTAGTAATGTCATTGGTCATGTGTATAATGGAATTCACAAGTGTAACGGTCATCGGTTTAATTTGGTACCAAGTGTGGAAGCAAAAAAGGATGAAATATAATAACTTTCTTTGATGTTATTAAGCGAATCAATTTAAGTGAAAAAATATTTGTTTCGATCTCGGATAATATAATCCAAACATTTTTAAATGTAAATTTGGTAAAAAAAATAAAAATAAAAATAAACTTTAATCGAAGCGATCCAACTCAATATGAAGAAATTTATATTCTGAAAAAATGTTGACAGCTTCCCCCAAAAAAACAAAAATAATAATAAAAAAACTTACCTATTCGGTGGATCGAATTCTTTTATTTCTGCCAGTTCTGACACTATGACATTGTTTTGATAAATTTTGCCCATCCGTCTTCAGATGCAATTAATTGTATTTATAAAGGAATTCCACCTCTGGAAGAAAATATATCATAAATAGGCTCGATATGCTTTGTATTTCGATAGTATAGAACTGGATAGTTTTTTTTTTTTTCCTTTTTAGGCCTATTACAGACCGTCGCCTGATGAAATCATAGTTGTTTCTTTGGTATTTTGTTAATAAATCTTTTATTCTTTGTTAACATTCACACCTTTGTTATTATCCCTTACATTAATAAATTATCTTCTCCCGTACAAAAATAAATGGTGACACACCGTCCAGCGCACATCAAAACTTAAAAGTTGTATAATAATAATTTTTTAAAAAAAAATTATTTCGTGAATAAGATAATAAAAATTTACATATTGTATTGCTGACCAATTTATTTTTATTTTTTTGTTAATTGATAATCTGATCGATACAGAATTCAATAAGGAAATATTTTTTTATTTCAACAAAAAAAATTCGACCAATTTGATTCATCACATATTATTTGTACGTGTCTAAAAAAAAACTAAAATTTCTAAGGGATGCTACAAGAACAATTTTTATAAAAAAATAAAATAATAGAATCATTTACCTCATATAGAGAAGGATGTAAAGTAAAATAATTCAAGTTGTATTAATATTGTTAAGTGATGTAGGACCAGATGATATGTATCGTACTCAGAATCCCTACAACGCTGCAAAACCAAATTCTTTGAAAACATTAAAAATTCTTTTGTTTAGAGATCGCGAGTGTTTATGAAATTGAACGTTAAAAAAAACCAGTTCAAGAGTTCAGCCACTGTCACAATTTATGAAAGGAAAAAACTTTCTTTTCAACTAAGTTTTAGCCAAAGTCGACATGGTAGGAATTTGTTTTATTTAGCCTTAGTTATAATTGGAACCACATTATTGAATATTGATTCTTCATAAAATTGTAACAAAAACTTTTAAGTCTAACTTTAATAAATGATGTAAGAAAGATATCGATATCGTGTCGTTGTAGTTGTCAGTTGTATCTTTCGCTGTTTCATTTATATTTTTTTTTTCCTAAACTTCATCTCCCTCATGGTTCCAAAGCGATCAATTGTAGCATTCCGTAGATTGTTCATTAGGATCGGAGTGATTCATGACTTGAGTTGCAAATGATTGATATTGTTGAATCAACGGGTTCAGTTCATAAAATAGTGCATTTGTAATAAAATCTTTATCTCACACAGACAATTCTATTGTCATAAAGAGGAATCGCATAAAAAAAGAACATTTATACAATCATTAATTGCCGTGATGTTGACTTTGTGAAATTACGAACCAAATCATTCTACTACAAAAACACGTGAGAACTTTGAAGCGTTGAAATGAATATTGCTTCAATTAGATGAAGGCCCATAATGAAGATAAGATATAATCATCGGTATGTAAATTTTGGTCGCACCGATGTTTGCACCCCGTATAATTAAAATATTGAAGGCTCGGTAGCGTTAGCTATAATAAACAGTAGTTGAACGTTTATAAAGAGTTGGATGCAGAATCATATATCTCGTTTATCGACCATTCCATCGACAAAAATCACGGACCGCTCTTTATTATTTTTTTAAAAAAGTGAATTTTCAAAGTTCAAAATTTGTAATGATATATTTATACTTAAATTTTTAGAATATATATTGCGTCCCAAAACGTCGCTATTAAGAAAAAATCATTCCCTGTGAAAAATCATTAGTACAAAAGAAAGACTCAATAAATAAAATCAATAAAATCATAAAAGAAGAAAGGCATTTCATAGAATACTTAAAAAAGTAAGTCGCCGCGTTGATTTGATAATAAGAAAATTGTGTAACCACACACGACTATATGACTACAATAAAAAAAATAAATCTTGATTATGTTTTCCGTTTGTGATCAAACATCTAATATTAAGTCAGATTAAAATACAACATTGTTTCGCTAAATAAAAAAAAAATATAATGGGTGAGAACAAATCGAAATCATTTGAGGATTAAAGGTTTCGTTTATTTATTATTTATTTATTCGTTCGTTACAAACTATCAAACTATCTTTGTGACCAACTGAAAATACCGGTTGCAAAATTTATTTTGTCATGTGACTCATGAAAACAGCAGTAACCGTTTAAGCATTTTTAGGCCGGTTCCAACCTATATAATGAGTGTGTATTCGGTTATTTATTGTGATAATTCTGAGATCTATTGATCATTTTTAATATTTGAATGAGCTACAAAGAGAAGCCTCGTGATTCTAAATCGTATATAAAAAGAAAACTACCATTTTGACTGAAAATAAAAAAAAAATAATAAAAATTATAAAGCAATAAACTTAATATTCAATATCATATTTAATATATTTGTATTAAATATTGTATTTATGTAACTTTATCGTTGAATTAATAATAATTTTTCATTTTTTAAACATTAACTGAATCTCATGATTTGAATTGCTTATTCTGTTGACGAATATAATGGCGAAGGAATAAATTCTGTATATAAATATTGTTTGTTCAATTTATTTATTTAATGTTAGTAATTCTTGTGTAGATACAAAAAACAATTCGAACCTTATTAAATTTATACCATAAGTATCGTAAGTTGGTTTTGGCATCGTTTCACGCTATTTTACGAGTTTCCAATTTTCGCCATTAATCATATTTACATGCTTTCCTTTGTAATACTACTAGGTGACTTCAAAAAAAAAAAGAAATTTGAAGAAAACCAAAACATAATACTATCACTTAATTATACATTTCAAAAAAAAACTGTTACTTTATATGGGAGATTTGCTAGGAAAATGGGACTCTGAGAATTTTTTATTAAAACTTTACTTTTTATTGCATTTTATTTCTTGATAATGTTAGATTAAAATACAATAAAAATTCAAACTTTAAAAAATGCTCATAGCCCTATTTTCCTAGCAAACCTCCCATATAAATAATATTTTTCATTGAATATTTCAAAAAAGTAAACTTTTACAATTAAATTAAAATATGACGTCACCACAAAAGTTAATAATCACCACAAAGGTTATGCAATTATTTTATGGAATATGCCTTTTTGACCAAAATATTCGTATTGCACAGTACCTGTTTTCCGTATATTCCACCGAAAAATGCTTGAAAATAATATATACGATAACAATAGGAAATAATATTGGGAAAGACTCGAAAAAAAAAATGAAATTAAAATGAACTTTATTTAGACTAGACCGTTTTTCAGTTCAAAGCTTAACTGTTAATACTCAATCCGCGCAAAAATTTATTTCTCTTTTCAAATAAAATATGTAATTTAATTTTAGGCCGATTACGACATTTTTTTATCGAGAAATTGGTAATTAAGGAATGGAATCGATCTAAAAGTAAATTAAATTGTAAAGATTCGATCCAAATATTCGAATTTCGATTTCGATTACTAGATTCTAATTGAATTTATTATGGAGAAGTGATTGATTTGTCATAATTTAATCGGAAAATTACCAAAAATTTTACTTGTAGAAAAAAAATTATTTGTCAAGGAAAAAATAATATTATAAATTTTATGAAAATTTAGATAAGAACAGGTACAGTATAAAAGATAATATTTGAAATTCATCCTTTTTTGAAATAGCAATTTAGTAATTTTCTTAAAATTTTGTGTTAGTTAAAGTTCTTGTAGTTGATGTATTTCTTTAGTGTAAATATAGGAAACATAATTGGTTTCTTGTTCTTCATTCCGCTTGGAATTACAATAACCATCTGCTTTTGGTTTTATTGTAATTTAAATTGCTTCTTCTACAAGACAATGTGATAAAAATTAATTTTGTTAGAGGCGTGATAGAAAAGAATAATAATTCCACCGGTGTTACACAATGATATAAGCCTGTTATTCCATATGAAGTTAGGTTATTAAATATAATCATATGAGCGTAAGCGCATGTGATTATTATATAAACCCATGCCTTGCATAAACCCAGATCATATAGTAAATATAGTAAATTCCTTCCTAAATAATATAACTCATTATATACTGTATCATTCAAATGTGGCGCTTTTATATGAATGCCAATGCTAATTACTAAAGATAATCAAATTCAAAATTTTGGGCTTAGTGGTTGTAAGAATTTAGTATATCAAAACTTATACTTGTATTACAAAGTAATTATGCTGTGGGATGTAACACAATAGTCTTCATGAATTAGGATTTTACAATGATTTCTCTTTATAATAAAATAAACAGTTTCACATTTCGAATCTCCACACTATTATTATTATTATTATTTTATTAATATTATAACTGCAAGATACAAATTATAATAATTGTCAAATGAATATCTTTAATAATTATATACTTTTATTAATCATTTCATTGGTGATATATCCAATAAATTCACAACAAA